ACTTCTTAGCTCCAAACTTATGCACATACTTTGTCCTTTGCCAAGAAAGCCTCTCCTTTCTCCTGTGCTTCTTTAAATGTGAACCATCCTCGAAGGTTCAGCTTAAGTTCCCACCCTTTCTAGAATCAAACCTTTTTCTGATCTCACAAGCCAATGGGATCTATGACTCCTTTGAACTTTCCTAGCACATTCTTTGCATTTTTTCCTATGAAATTTAGCATGTTCGGCATTGCATTAGATATTCAGGTATTATTTTAGTATTCCACTTAGGTTGTAAACGTTTTGGGGACAGAGACACTGTGTATCTTTTTATTATTTCAACTTTAAGGCAAATACTACATATGAGAGTCAGTGTGGCACTATAAGAAAAGCCCAGGTTTTGAGGTCAGACATCCTTGCATTTTAACCCTAACTCTGTCTTTCTGTAATCAAGGACAAGTTACATAATCTCACTCCAAGGCTTCATTCTCCTCATCTAGAAAATGCACTTTCCTGAGAAGTTTGCTTTGAGGATGAAATTAGGTACAGTAAATAAAGTGCTTATCAAAACGTGCCATCATGGGTGCTCCAAAAGGCCTGCCTAAACCCCACCTCTTGAGTTCTTCGTGACCTGACAAAAGGTTCTTTCTCTTCTCCAGATTAGAGGTCCTGAGAATCCCCAACCCACTGCAGGGATACTTTGACAGGGGCTGCACCCCTCAAGTGTGAGGCTTTCTCTTTGGCTCTGACAGTGTCACTGAGTCAGAATCCAACCCACTAAGCTAACTGTCCATGTGATTCATACCTACAGGAAGTTGCAGGGAGATGTTCCTTTATAAGACTCTTGAGGAAGGCAGAGTTTGGATCTGTGAATTACTAGGCTTATTTAACTCAGGTTGTGAAACGCATTCTCATTTCAGAAACTTAGTGATGTTTTAAAATTCAAGACACACATAACCAGTGCCAAGCTCTCAAGTTACTCATCAGAAGTCTGATAAGACACTTTCGGGAAGTGCCAGGCCACCTGGTGCCATTTGCTACATTACAATTACAGTGTACTTAAGTGGTTCACAGGAAGTATATATATGGGCAAGTTAAGCCCATTTATATGGGCTTAATTATTTTTTAATGTCTGAGAGTTGGGCACACCATGTTTACACAGTCTTTTTTTCTTTTTCTTCCTCTATTTTGGCTCTCTTGACATTTGAAAAAGATAAGGCAAAAGACATTTTTCTAGGATAGATAAGTATGATATAATTGCAGCTGGATGTTTTCTAGGATAGACAAGGTATTATGTAAGTGCAGATAAAGTATTATGTAAGTGCAGTATTATATAAAATATAAAGCTAGGAGGCCTCTTCCCTCGGTCTGATCGAATCCCTCACATTCACACTGTGCACTGTGTTCCTTTCCTTCCAAGAGGAAGGAAAGTGAGGAAGTGAGGGCCAGACAGTGTCCACCATGCTCAGGAATGAAACAGCTTCTCCACCCAGTTGAAGCCTCAATTTCCTTCTGACATTTGTGAAAAGCATCTAAATCTAGACCTATGATACTGATCAGCCTTCTAACTCTTCTTTAGTTAATGAGAGGTGTGAATCTCTAATGTCTAGGAAGGCACAAAGCATTAAGTACCACCTACGTGTCAGCCTGCTGAGAGTGAGGATGAGTGATCTAGGCTCATATTGGAGTAATCTCCCCCATCCCTCCTCCATGGCCTATTTCATACATAAAATATCACAAAATAAAAGGGGAAATTATGCAAATAAATTTAATATAAAACCAAATTAGGGAACGACTATCAGAATTATTAATTAGAACCCTGTTTACATTTATTGTCAAGCCTTGGCATTTTTTTTAATGAAAAATTTTTAAAAATTCCTTCCTCCCTTAAAGCCTGTCATTGAGAGATGTGTTTGAATTTCAGAAAGTAGGTGTGCATTTCAGTCTTCCATTCTTTAGCAGTGACTGTTTGTGTATGCTGACAGTTGTGATTAAGGTTTATTCATTGCTATTAATCAAATAAGCATTTATTCTTAGAAATTGTTATATTCCCTCATACCGTCTCTTGATCCCACAGTTCCCTTAACCTCAATTTACCTGGTTTACCCAGCGCTAATGCTGGGAATTATCCCATACTCCCCCATTCCCGCTATTACAATAGTCAAGAAGTCAGCGTGTCTTCTTTTTACTTTTTCATTTTCTAAGATTTTTATTCAAGATGGGGTCTCATTCCATTGCCCAGGCCTGAATTATAGTGGCATGATCATAATTCACTGCAGCCTCAAACTCCTGGGCTCAAGTGATCCTCCCACCTCAGCCTCCCAAGTAGCTGGAACTAAAGACATGTGTCACTACACACAGGTAATTTTAAAAAAATTTTTTTGTAGAGGCACAGTCTCACTATGTTGCCCATGCTGGTCTTGACCTCTTGATCTCAAGCGATCCTCGCACCTCAGCCTCGCAAAGTGCTGGGATTACAGGCGTGAGCCACCACACATGTGCCCAGCCAGTCAGTACATCTTGATTCTGATTCCTGAATAATTGCATCTGGCTCCTTTTTTCCATCCTTTGAGCTTAAACTACATCCTCACTGTACCTTGGATAAATGTCCTAGTGGCCTCTCTGGTTTGCTGATTATATTCTTCAAGCACCCGTCACTCTTTCCCTCCATGCCTACTCTCATAACAGGCTGATCTTTCTAGATGATAAATGCAAATTTGATGATAGCGTTCCCATACTTTGCTATTGAATATAACTCAATGCAGCAACCCATTCTACTGACCAGTGTTAGTACTGACTGCCTCCTGGTGTCAGGGACTATATTAGATTCTGGCAATATAAACCCCAGTTATAGTGGGGTGAGGTAAATGCTTTAATAGCTTATAAACTTGGGAATCTTCTGAATTCAGATTTATGTTCCTTCAAGAAACCTGCCAGGTCCCACCAGGCACATGTTGGCTCATGCTTATAATCCCAGTGCTTTGGGAGGCAAAAGCAGGAGGATTGCTTTAGACTAGAAGTTTAGCAGTTCAATACCAGCCTGGGCAGGAAGACCCCATCTCTACAAAAGAAATTAGCCAGTGTGGCATACCATACCTGTGGTCCCAGCTATTCCGAGGCTGAGGCAGGAAGATTGCTTAGGCCCAGAGGCTGGAGGCTACGGTAAGCTATGATCACACCTCTGCATCTGCACTTAGCCTGTGTGAAAAAGTGAGATCTTGTCTCTAAAAAAAAAGAAAGAAAAACCTACCAGATCCTTCATAACCTGACCTTAACCATCCTCCCTCTCCCCCACGTATTCTACACTGTATCATCATACTAGGCTATCAGAAATCCAGTAAACATTTTATGCTCTCTTCCCTTGATGCTGTTTTCTCTACCTAGAAGTCCTCCTTCCCTTTGTTTGCAGGCTTCACATTTTCTGAGGCCATTCCCTTGAATTTCTTATCCTCTGGCCAACATGGTAAAACCTCGTCTCTACTAAAAATACAAAAATTAGCTGGGTGTGGTGGCACGTGCCTGTAATCCCAGCTACTTAGGAAGCTGAGGCAGGAGAATTGCTTGAACCCAGGAGGTGCAGGTTGCAGTGAGCCAGGGTCGCACCACTGCACTCCAGCCTGGGCAACAGAGCGAGACTCCATCTCAGGAAAAAAAAAAAAAAAAAAAAGGTAGGCTAAGCTAAAATGTTTGGTAGGGTAGGTGTATTGAATGCATTTTCAGCTCATGATATTTTTAACTTATGATTAGTTTATCGGGATATAGCCTCATTGTAAGGTTAGCACCTGTAGCTCTACCAAATGACTTCTCAGACTTTTAAAAAATTAATCTGTCAAACTTTTCTTTCTGTTTAAGGGTAGGGACCATGTCTTCCATCTAAGTGCCTTCCTTGCTCAGCATAGTTCTTGGCAGTAGCAGGCTCTCAGTAAGCATTCACTGGATGAATAAAAGTCCCTGGTTCATGATGCTCCTTATTATTATTTCTTCTGATGGATACTAACCTGTATTGATTTATTCCTGTGTCAAATTCTGTGGGCTTAGCTCTCAAACCAGGGCCTCAATGCAGTATCTGTTGTTCCTGCTTTTACATAATCTTTCAAAAAGATTTGCACTAATAATTTACACCACTAATTTTGCAAAGTTGTTTTGTAAAATTGGTACATGTTATTTGTCCACTCAAAGACATTTATTAAGATATTGTCAACAAGGGATCTAAAGGCTCAAAGACAGAAAATCCAAGGAATCAGTCTCATATAAGGGTCATTTCTGAAAGTCACAAATAATCCAAATTAAATCAAAGGTCAGAAAATTCTTTTATAAAGGACCAGCTGATAAATATGTTAGGCTTTGTGGGCCATATGGTTTCTGTGGCAGCTACTCGTCTTGTGTGGTGTAATGTGGCAGCAGTCATAGACAGTATGGAAATGAAAGGCTATAGCTATGTTCCAGTAAAACTTCATTGATAAAAACTATGGACCTGCCTTCAGTTACAAGGTTGGACAGATACTCAGTTAAGATATATGCAAGATGCAAAGGTGGTTCCGAGTAAGAAGAAACCACGCATTTCATATTATAAGAAACTGGGAATGGGCAGCTTAGAAAGATGGCTTTGTTCTCACCAAGGTTCAAGGCAGAATTCCACAATACAGATGAGTAGAAGCTATCAGGATCCAATAAGGTTAGACAAGCCTAAGGAATGTTTTGGCTGATCATTCAAGAAAAGTTTAAGAACAAAATGTGGGGAAGTATTTTTGTTAAAAGCATTCAAGAATGTTGCAACCTCGGTGACAATTTACTATCACATAAAAAGAAAAGATGAAAGCTATATTAGAAAAAAATATTCCTTTCCTGTGTAGACTATTTTCATTGTCAATATTCCTTTGGAGTCAGTTTATTACTGATTATTTTGGATAAGCCTACCATATAAATGAAAAAAAATGTGCTAAATGCAACACTGACATATACTCTCATTGGTTTTTTATTCACAGAACTTAACTGATTTTTGTTTGTTTTCTTAATTCTAGCACCAATAGCTGCAGGAACTGGCCCAAATTTTTCTCTCTCAGATTTGGAAAGTTCTTCATACTACAGCATGAGTCCAGGAGCAATGAGGAGGTCTTTACCCAGCACATCCTCTACGAGGTAATTTGATTGGCAGCTCTTGAAGAAGTTACGCTGCATGGTTGCGCACCTGGATTTTACCTCTGGGCCTGCTATGCATTGAGCAGTGTGCCTTTAGTAATAGCAAGGTAGTGGGTTCAGCCCCAGCAGACTGTCAGTCTCATTGGGGAGATAAAGCAAATATGCATGTAGCAAGGATAAACGTACACACACACACACACACGCACACACACACATATATACACATACAGACACACACACACACACATATATACACAGAGACAGAGACATTAAAAAAACTGAACTAAATTGTGTGACACAGGCTAAAAATAAAGAGGGCTTTATCCAAAAAGAGTACCTTGGTTCTACCTCTAAACTTTGGTTAGGGTTGGCGAGATGGAAAGGAAAAGGAATGGAATTCTGGGTGGGGTGAAAATATGAGCAAAGGCATGGAGGAAGGATGGGTGATGAACATAACATGTACTCAGGAAATGAAGGACAAGGTTTGACTGCAGCTAAGGGCATATGTTTTGGCTTGTTTGGCAGGAAGTGGACACTGGTGACAGTCCCTGTGTCATGCCCACAGCAGACATTACGGCTCAGTGCCATCTCTTTTCCCACTGAGCCCCCAAAGGTCTCAATATCCAGTTTGCTGGAGTTGCCCTAAAAGGTGAAGAAACCTGCTTGATATCCTGGTGTGAGGTTATACAAATGGAAGCAGTCACTCGTATAATCTCAAATGAGGGTGGGGCCAGACCACAGACCCCACTGTATTGAGAAACCTTCAGAAAAGTAAAGCTAGAGGAGTGAGTGTAACCTGATAATGATTCTGGGGTTCGTGCTTCCCTTAACGTCACAAAGCCAAAATCAAAATGAAGCATTTTTGCAAGATCATGTTGTCTCTAGATAACCTGTACCAGAGGGAAAGAGATTAGGCATTAAACCCACAGTATTCTTTTACAAATTGGCTTTAGCACTGGACTGTGACAACAAAGAATAGAATGGTGCAGAACGATCTTTGATGTTTGTATACTTTGCAGAAAAATGTCTGACAAAGGTATATTCCTCCTAAAGCAAGTACCTGAGTCTTATGATTTAAAACAGTGCCCAAATTAAAGACATTTTCCTTGGTGGACACTTGTTCTTACCTTGCCTTTATGTATTTTAAACATTACTACTTAAAAAAAACATAAACCTAGTCATTACCAATACCTTGAAGGCAGTTAAAGAAACAGGTATTCCCTAAATATAACTTCCAGATCCTACCATCATCTTTCGTGTTGTTTAAATGTTCCCCTTAATTCCCTGTAGTATCAGCTTCTCAGGGGGACAAAAACATCAAACATTCAAAGTATATTTATAATAGAAGGAAGAGATTGTGAATACATTCGGGTGTTAATACATTTTGAGGATTTTGAATGTTTGCTGATGGAAGAGACATTGTGTGTAACTGCACTCAGTCAATATGAAGAAGGTTTGCAAATACTTGGGGGCCTTGTTTAATTTAAAAGTTTATGGGCTGTTTGTTTTTCATGTGTGTGCTGTACATGTACCGTGTACCTCCCAAACAGTGGTCCCCGCTTTTTATGTTTTCACACAGTTTTCCAGCTATGTTTTGTTATCTTTTGTGACTCTCTGAGAGGAAAGCTCATTATTAATATCATTTAAAAGGCTAGTGTCATTCTCATATTCTGCAAATAACTAACCCTGATAAGGAGCTAATTAGAAACTGCATCAGGAGTTAATAACCCAGTAATATGTTTGTTTTACTTTCATTAGGCTCTTCCTAGGATGATTTTTAAAAATTCTTTAAATACATAGATTCGGCAGGATTAACGATGTACAGGTTAGAAAGTGTGCCCAGAAGAATATCTCAGATTTACATATAGAAATGTTCACCAGTCAATCAATATGTCTTCCTGCTGTGCCAATATGAATGGATCACTTTCTGGGTGGCAGGCACCGTATTAGGTGAGTTATATACCTGTCCTGATTTATTCTTCACAGTGATTTTACAACATACACAGTGTTGCCATTTTTTTTTTTTTTTTTTTTTGAGTTGGAGTTTCACTCTTGTTACCCAGGCTGGAGTGCAATGGAGCGATCTCGGCTCACTGCAACCTCCGCCTCCAGGGTTCAGTCAATTCTCCTGCCTCAGCCTCCTGAGTAGCTGGAATTACAGGCATGCACCACTATGCCCAGCTAATTTTTTGTATTTTTAGTAGAGACAGGGTTTCACCATGTTGACCAGGATGGTCTCGATCTCTTGACCTCGTGATTCACCCGCCTCGGCCTCCCAAAGTGCTAGGAATGCAGGCTTGAGCCACCGCACCTTAACAGTGGAGCAACACAAAGCTCAAAGCAGTTAAGTAACTTGCCCAAAGTCACGGTCCTAGTGAATGGTGAAGTCTCCATTCATGCTCAGCTCTGTTGGAACTTTACAAATATGCTCTTCTCACACAGAATCCTCTTGAGAGTAGGACTGACTCTTCTAGTGAGGAACGATAGAAGATGAGATCCTAAAAAGGAGTTTCTAGCACCTCTGTTCTTCCCTACCAGTTAGCGTTTGCCGTCTTGAGTCATTCTCACCATCTTTGAGGGCTGTACGTGTGCTGCCTCCCTCTCTGGACTGTAAGTCCCTTGAATGACAGCGTCTAACCCTTTCCCATTCAGCAGCGAACGTTATTAGTAAGAAACAAGGATACCGTCCTCGGCACCATGCATATAAGGTCAAATGAGAGGGGCTTTATAGTCTAGTGGTAGAGACTGGAAAGGAAGTGGGAATTTTCAGTTCAGGGTCCTGTGAACATTCAGGAAAGTTAAGGCATTTTGTGATCTTAACGAATGCCAAGTAAGACTTCTGGACCTTAGCCAGAGCAGGAAGATATGTGGAATTAACGTAATACTTTTACCTTATTTTTTAGATAGAATTGCGAGAAATATGAGAAAAAAATTCCACACACAAGAAGAGAGAGTGCGTCACTCCTTAGGAGAATATTTATCTGCACTTTCTGTTTAGATCTTACAGATACTTTCCTGCTTCCGTCAAGTGTCTCTGGGAAAATAGAATGAGTGTGTTAGAAAGTCAACAGCAAGAAACCAAAATCAATGACTGATTCGTTTCAATAGCTAGACAGGTAGGTAGATAGATGTGATGCAGTGGTGCTGACTGTAAGTTCTATATCCCTTTGGGGTAAACATCGTCACAATCATAGAAAGTGAAATGTAGGCCTGGCGCAGTGGCTCATGCCAAGGCAGGCAGATCATGAGGTCAGGAGATTGAGACCATCTTGGCTAACACAGTGAAAGCCTGTTTCTACTAAAAATAGAAAAAATGAGCCAGGTGTGGTGGCATACGCCTGTAGTCCCAGATATTTGGGAGGCTGAGGCAGGAGAATCACTTGAACCCGGGAGGCAGAGGTTGCAGTGAACTGCAATCGGGCAGATCACCTGAGGTCAGCAGTTTGAAACCAGCCTGACTAACGTGATGAAGCCCTGTCTCTACTTAAAATACCAAAATTAGTCAGGCATGGAGGCACACACCTGTAATCCCAGCTACTCAGGAGGCTGAGGCAGGAGGATTGCTTAAACTCAGAAGGCAGAGGTTGCAGTGAGCCAAGATCATGCCACTGCACTCTACCCTGGGCGACAGAGCCGGACTCTTGTCTCAAAAAAATTAAAAGTTGGGAGAAATGCGTTTTTTATTCCAAAAAACTTTATCAAGTAAAGCCAGCTGTCAAATGTTTGTGTAGTCAGTAAACTTTGTCTTGGAAGCCTCCACCTGTGCTTTCTCACTTGCATAGTTCCTGATCTTTTCCTTTTTTCCGTGCTTCCCCTCCATCCTCCAGACATTTATCTTTTTTTTTTTTTCTCCAATAGAGACAGAGTCTTGTTCTATTACGGAGGCTGAGTGCAGTGATAGCAACTCATGGCAACCTCGAAGTCCTGAGCTCAAGTGATTGTCCTGCCTCAGCCTTTGGAGTAGCTAGGACTATAGGCATCTTCCACCACACATGACTGATTTAAAAAATATTTTTTTTGTAAAGGCAAGGTCTCGCCCTGTTGCCCAGGGTGGTCTCTGAACTCGTGACCTCAAGTGAACCTCCTGCCTTGGCCTCCCAAAGTGTTGGAATGACAGGAGTGAGCCACCATGCCTAGCCCTATTTTGTCAACTTCTGAAAGTCCTTGCTTTCAAACTATGGCATCAGCTGATAACTATAGAATCTTTCAACTCTAGAATTTAATACTGGCTTGGAGTATTTGCATTTTATTAGAGGATGCCAAGGAAATAAAAAACTTTAAAAACTCAGAAAAGTATCAGTAATAGGAGAATGATGGACAATGGAGTTGGCCTTTGAGACTAGATGGAATTGGATATTTGGATGAATCCTTGTCACATGTATTCGTAGGTTTCTAACTCAGTAGCCCAATTCAACAATTTTTTAGTATCTTCTATTAGCCAGACACCATGGTAGGCACTAGAGATTAAAAAGTATCTAGTCATTTTCCCTGCAGATCTTACAGCCCCATCAGGACATATAGGCTTCTCATTTTATTTGCCAGAGTACTTCAGGGAAATACTTATTTTTTTTCTCATATGCGTTCTTTCTGTTTCCAAGATGATTTCAAGTGGCTTTCAATTTTAAAACACAACAGGTAATATTAAATGTAGAAAGAGGCCAGAAACCATTTAGAAAAAATTGTTATAGCAAGAGCCTGAACCAAGAGTTATGCCTTAAGTTTAGCCTGAGCTTCCTGGTTGCCAAGGCAAAAAGGGTTATATAGTTTGCATTTCTAATAAAAGGGACCAAGAGAAATTTGTTCAAAGAGACCATATTTTTCTGGTTATGTTTTGTAAAGAATTCTCTGTGTATATCCTCTTATAAAGGACTCCCATTAGATGTAGTTTTGCATGAAATATAGAAAAGTTCTTCAGTGGCTATTTTTCATTGAACTTCAAGGAAAGCCAAGCAAAGAACATTAAATAAGCTATTAAAGGCATTTCCTTTGAGTACTAAGCTAGCATGGCACAGTTATGTTGCTTTCCTGTGGTCTGGCTTTAATGAGAATAGAGCTTAATGGCTAAGAATACTGGAATGCCAACATTAATAATGAGAATTTCTTGCCATAAATTGGCCCTCCACATTTTTTCATTCAGATTGCTGCAATGGCTTAACTGTCTCCCTGCCCTAAGCTCCATTTTCTTATTTTCCCCTTTGCCTCTGTAAATCTATCATCTGCACAATTACCAAAGTAATTTTTCTAAAATATAGCTCACCTGTCATTCCCTGTTTAGACTATTTCAGGGAGTCTCCATTGCTTATAGGAGAAAGTCTAGACATGCAGTATCTTCTAGAGCCTCCACACTCCTCACTCACTGTGCCCTTCTTCCCCACTTCAACCATACTAGACAGCTGGCAGGTCTTGGAACATATCACACTTCACTCACAATGTGGCTTCTTCCTGATGTGCTCCTCCCTGCTGGGGGTTATGTTCAAAATATCTGATAACCTGTGTGACACGAGCATACCAATTAGAATAGACGCCACCCTGCTTGCAGGGATTTCTTTGACTAGGTCCTGGAATGCTCATGTGCCAGACATTAACGCTTTAGATTTCAGACTGTGAGGGTATCCTGGGACAAAGAAGGGGAGGCCAGGTTGGAAGAAATGTATGGAGTTTGAGACAGTGACACTGACAGTATTTTTAAAACCAAATGGCTGCCTGAGTGGTACATCAGCTGAATAGCAGCCCTGCCTCTGCCCTTTCCTTTATTTTTCCCTGTCTCCTTGACATTCTTGAAGATAGCTCAGGAGTCATTTCCTCCAGAAAGCCTTTCCCAAACGTCTGGCTCATCACTGTCTCCATCATGTGACCCACTGTACCCTGTATGTGGTTCCATCATAACATCTGTGTTTCTCTTTTGCACAGTTTTGTTTGTCTCTCTGTCTCCATGTCTGATTCATCTCTATATCCCAGCACTTTGCATAGGACCTGGCATGTAGGATGCACACAGTAGGTATTCTGTGAATGAAACATACGAAAAATTCTGTACCCTGACACGTAAGGAATAGATTTCCCAGCAAGCACTCCCACTAGGTATGAAATCTACACATTCTAATAACATGGGTAGATTGGACAGTTTTATCACCACCCCCAGACTTCTTGATTTTGTGTCATTCAGTTAAAACAGCTACAGCAAGCATAACAGCAGGCAGCATTTCACCTTTTCACTCCTGAAGCCTCAAATCAGGGGAAGATTCAGTCCTTCAGCTAGAGGAAATGGTAGATATTCTGGAAGTTTCTTGACCACACTTCTCCAAAAAATGAAAATCTCTACCCTGATGGAATAAAACTTTGTTTTGATAATCTCTGTGTAGAGAAAGCACATAAAAGTCATTGGGCCACTGTTTTTTTATGCCTCTTGTTCTCAGAGGGCAATGCACACCTTCCTCCTTCCTTTTTCTGTTTTGTTCACTGATTTATTTCTAGTGTTTAGAGCAGGACCTGGACTAGCTATGCAGTAAATGTTTTTTTTTTTTTTGAATGAACAACTCCAAGTAGAAGATGGGAAAACATGGCAAAAGAAAAAAAAGCAATCCAAGCTTTTCTATTTATTTATTTATTTATTGGAGACAAAGTCTTGCTCTGTCACCCAGGCTGGAGTGCAGTGGCACAATCTCTGCTCACTGCAACCTCCACCTCCTGGGTTCAAGTGATTCTCCTGCCTCAGCCTCCCAAGTAGCTGGGACTACAGGCGCCCACCACCACACCCAGCTAATTTTTGCATTTTTAGTAGAGACAGGATTTCATCATGTTGGCCAGGATGGTCTCAAACTCCTGACCTCAAGTGTGATCTGCCTGCCTCAGCCTCCCAAAGTGCTGGGAATACAGATATGAGCCCCCGTACCCAGCCCAAGCCAAGCTTTTCTTGAAGGATCACAAGCCTTAACTTTTATCCTTTCTGAGGTTCCAGCAAGGATTAAATTGATGCCCAGGTTCATTGCTGATGGCCAGGGCCCAGCTACCACCTGTGGAGTTAGGAAATATGTGGGCTTACTCCTGACACTTCCAGGTGGAGACAGGAGCTGGAGCCAGCTACCCATTCCTCAAAGGAAAAAGGAACAGGATGTGGCAGCAGCAGCAACTTGATTGACAATAAAAATCAAACTCAGACACTTGGAATGACACAGACTCAAGACTTTTTTCTACATCCAGTGAGTCACCAGACTGAACAAGGGTTTAAAAGGAGCCCTAGAACTACACTAAGTTGCCCAATTGCTTCCTCCTTTGGCTTTCTTTCAACCAGAGGTGCAGCGTCTAAGAGAAAGGTGGTTTCAATTGCTTTTAAACATGCACCCATTTGTTATTTCAGCTCCACAAAGCGCCTCAAGTCTGTGGAGGATGAAATGGACAGTCCTGGTGAAGAGCCATTTTATACAGGCCAAGGGCGCTCCCCAGGAAGTGGCAGTCAGTCAAGCGGATGGCATGAAGTGGAGCCAGGTAAGCAGGGTGGCAGCATGGGCTTGTGTCTAAGCTAACACAGTGAAACCAAAAATGTGTGTGTGGTCCCATGCCACGCAGAAGAGCGAAGAAAGCAAGCTCAAGGTAGTTCACTTTTTCAGGATGGACACTTGTTTGTATTGTAATCTGATTGCCACATTCCTAAATGGATGGCTGTGCAAAGCAGTAGTAGTAATGGAACCGAAATGTAAGACTGGGGAGATAGTGTATGATTTTCTTCTCTTACATATTTCCCCTACACCACAATCCAGCATTTGATTTGCTTTTGGTTTTGTTTTTAATAATATCTTCTGGTTTCATTTTTAAAATTATCTTTTAATAATCCTAATAAAAATCTATCAGCTTTTTCAGCAGGATTGATAATGTTCGAAAGAAGATTGGGTTTTTTGCGCTACAGTTTAGACTCAGATTTTGATATAATAAGGACACTTTGCAGTATTTTTCCTATTACTGGATATCATCATGATTATTTTTCTATTTAAATTGAACAACTCTCCTTATTCCGATCTTTACTGCTGGCCTAATCTCCTGGGGTAGTCTAGTCTGGGCTCTGGAGTCTTGGGAGTAAAATGAACTTTTTGAAACCCTTATCGATGTCTAACACAGGGTTAGAGGGAATCGTCTCCAATGGCTTCCTGAATATGGCAAGTTCAGTGGGTATAAAGGATAGAGTATGTGCCTTGAAATCAGATAGTAGGAGTGTCATCCTGGCTTCAACTCCTGCTGGCTGTGTGATTGCGGGCAAGTTACCCAACCTCTCCGACCTGTGTCTCCCTTTTTATAATCTGAGAGTACTAACAGCTATTTCCTAGCATAGCTACTACCTAGCATAGAGTAAGTATAAAAAAACTGTTCTCTGGCCATCCTTCCCCAGCCTTTGCTTCAGAGTAATTCCCTGCAAGTACAGACAAGCACCAAGGAAATCTCTGAACCAACCTCTTCATCTACAAATCTTAGCTCCCTTCTTTCCTCCCTAAAATTTTTTTCAAAAGACAATGCTCACAGTGTGTCACTATAAAGGTAGCACAGGGGAGACACTGGGGTGATAGAACCATTCTGCATTCTGATTGTGGTGGTGACAGTAATCTGTATAACCGTTAACATTCACAGAAGTACGTATCTCCCTGCTCAAGTTAGTGTTACTGTATCATAATTAAAAACAAAACAAAAACACCTCAGGCCCACTGGCTGTGTCTTATATATTGCCCCTGCTATTAAAATGCAAAAATGTCTCTTTGGCTTACTTCTGCCTAGTCTCTCACTCATTCCATAGTCTTTGTTGGGAACTTCCTCTGTATGAAGCACAATGCCAGGTTCTGGGAACTCAAGGATGGCTGGAAAGGTTATGGTACCTGCTCTCAAGGAATTCACAATCAGAGGTGGGAAATAAACACATAAGCACAATCAGAGGTGGGAAATAAACACATCATTATATGGTGATATGGGAAGCGCAGAGATGATGGTGTTAGTCTTCGTGCCTTCTGTTTCTAATCAGTACCAAATACAGCACCCAAGGTGTGGTGGTGGTTCTACGAAGGTCACACATCGTCTTTTCTCCACATTTGTGTTCACATCAGCTCGCCTAAAGTGCCTAGGAAATAGTCCCAGTCCTAAATCAGAAGGAAAATGCTGACTCTCACTGCCACTACCTGCCTCATCAGCGTGACCTCTGTGTAGTGCCGATGAAAAGCTTATGTGCTATTAAAAAATTAAAAGATGTAAAACTTCTTTGAACCCTTTTTCAAAGGCTAATTAGAGCCCTAGCCAATTTACCTGCTTCAGTGAAAATCAGAATTAAACATATAGGCTTGGTACCTTTGTGCTTGATTATTGTGCGTTTTTGTGCTTATTGAAGCTGCTTTATTAGGTTGAGGTACTCAGAGCTCCCCCATCTTGAGGCTGAGCTCTAGGTCCTCACATTTACTTCCTCTGGGTATATTTGGGGACTATGGAGGTTGATTGATTATAGAGTACTTTGACCTAGTGACTCTTTTATTCAGAGCAATTCCTATTTCCATCTGTACATTATGATTCAAGCGATCTTAAATTTTAACATTTGAATACCTGAATCCTTTGTAGTCATTAAACAACTAAAGTTTAATGGCTGAATCCTTTTTGGTAAGAGGTGGGGTGTGTGTGTGTGTGTGTGTGTGTGTGCGCGTACATATGTATCTTCTTAGAGAATCCCCCGCAGTTACACTCCTGGACTGACTCTCCATTCTCTATCCCCATTTCATTACAGAAAAATGCAGTTTCATGGTATCTGTTTATAGGGAGTGATAGAGGACAGTGGATAAATGTACATTTGGCCATATTCAGTGTAGAAAGTCATAATTGCAACAAGGCCTGAGGGGACATTAAAACTCAACTGAAGGATGTTGCACATGTTCATGGTGACTTTGGTGTCATTAACTCACACCAGCCATTTTTAAATGGATAATTTATGCCGCCAGATGGTCCTTTTTGGGGATTTTCCATAAAGCTCAATCCCCTTTTTGGCACAGAGAACACCTTCATGTTGTTCCCACACTTATGCAGGCCTGCAGAGCTCTTCCCCAGGGGTACAGTTAATTGAGAAGGAGGCTTTTAGTGGTTCACTCATGTAAATTACCTTCAGAAATATGTTGGGAGTTACGTATATCTGAATGCACTGGCAGCCTCTTGGTTGCCTACATACGGGATAATTCTCTCAAACAAGTACGAAGGATACTGTGCTGACGCCGCAGATGTGACACAGGAAGGAAGGCCTGTACCTGCTCCTCGCTCAGGATGCTTTGGTATCTGCTCACCTGCCCTCAAATGCTTTTTCAGGACTCCCTGGCCAAAAGAGAGCCAAAGGTTGCCAGAAGAGACAAATTTCCTAGAGCAACAGGAAGATTATGGAAAGTAAAACAAACCAGACGTGCAGTAAATTACATGGGCACTTGCAAGTGTCTTTTGTGGTGTCCTGTTTCCCATTAGTTTATCTCAGCACTTTTCATGCACGGCTCTTATTATCTGGGAAGAAGGGCATAGGAGATTAAAGATGATGTTGCTTGAAAAACTTCAGACAACTTGAGAATGACTTTTGCTTCTCTGACAATGCTGCATTTGTCCCTCCGACTTAGTTTCGTTTCCCAGTTATCTCAAAACTGGGTTAGATTTGAAGCTTTGAAGCAAATCATGAATTGTTGAAACAAGTCCTATGAAATTCTGTCAAGCACAAATGCACATACCATCAACTCTTGTTTATCTGAAGAAATGAAAAATTACAGAGAAATTGATAATGCAGATAAACAGGAAGGAAACCAATTAGGCAGTGCCCACATTGGGTCAGACACTTGATGTTGCTTTCATCTATATGGAAAAATGCTAGTTACAGTTGAGTACCTACTGTATACCAGGTTTTTAAAAAATTAACCTCTTTTAAAATATGCAAGATATAATGATCCTGCCTCTATAGGGATAAAAACCGAGAATCATGAAAGGTTAAGTGATTTGCCCAAGCCCACACAGATAGTAATTCTGTGGATTCAAAATCCATATTTAAGACTAAATCTGACTTCAGAGTCTATTTTCTATACTCAGTAACCTCTTTTACCATAAACATTTAAAGCAGTATTTTAGGGTCTCATGTCCTGGACTGGAACCTCATTTAAAACGTTATAATAAGAAATAATAACTCATCAGAGAGACCTGAAAAATATTCTGTTTTTCTTATCCCAAAGGCTTGTCATATAACTTGATCTAGAGAAGAAATATATTATGAAATATACATAGGACACAATATATGAGTATTAACTGTTAGCAAAGTAAACTGTCTATCATTTTCATTTATAAAATCAAATAATTCTCAGCAGTTAGGTCTTTGTTCAAATAGTATCTCAGTAGACAGGCCCTCAGTGATCCAAAAGAGCTGCTGATCCTCCCTCCATCATCCTATAATTCACAACCCTGCTTTGCTTTCTTTATATGTCTATCTACTTTTTTTTTTTTTCTGAAACGGAGTCTTGCTCTGTTGCCCAGGCTGAAGTGCAGTGGTGTGATCTCAGCTCACTGCACCCTCCACCTCCTGGGTTCAAGCAATTCTCCTGTCTCAGTCTCCCGAGTAGCTAGGACTACAGGTACCTGCCACCACACCTGGCTAATTTTTGTTTTTAGTAGAGATGGGGTTTCACCATGTTGGCCAGGCTGGTCTCAAACTCCTGACCTCAAGTGATCCTCCATCCTCAGCCTCCCAAAGTGCTGGGAGTACAGGTGTGAGCCCACCATGCCTTACCATCTATCTGCTATTATTGTCTGTTTTCTCTCTCTAGGAGATACACTCCATGAACAGTGGGACTTAGTCTGTCTTTTCCATTGCTATCTTTCTGACAACCATAACAGTGTCTAGCACATAATACGTACTCAACAAATATTGATTGAATGAATGAAATGATAAAGCAGAGAATTGTGGGTGCTTTCAATAAACTTGATAGCAGAATTTGCTACCAAGAATACTCTCAGAATTGGTGTTTACTGCATTTTCAATGTGCAGGCTTTCAGTCAAATCCTATTACTAGCAAGTCGTAAACAGAACAATTGCTTAGGCTCAGCCAAGGACCCCACTGATGAGCTGCAGTGCATCGACTATTACAAGTATCCCTCACCTGAAAGTGTGTTCCTTTAAATGAATCAAACTTCAAAAAAAAATTTTTTTTAATTTGTATTATTTTTTAAGTTCATTGTTGAGTATGAGCTCTATATTAAGAATCCCAGTAGTGAATCCTTTGTGGAACATTTTATGTAGTATAGACAACCTCCTTTACTTACCTGTGAAAAAAATTCAGATTTCCATACCAAATTTTCTTATACAAGTATATATGAGACACTTCAGACCCTTGCCACTCAAAGTGTGGTCTGAGGACCTGCAACATGGCATCACCTCAAGGCTTACTAGAAATACAGAATCCTGCCCAGGCACTGAGGCTCACGCCATAATCCCAGCACTTTGGGGGCCC